ACCCGAAGGCCAAGGAAATTCGGGGATTGAGCCCCTAAGTGAATGCCTGAACGGCCAAATCATCGGCAACCGGGGGTAGGTCCATCCATTCCATCTAGAACCTTGACACAAGCACCCTGAGCATCTCATTGTCCCTCTGTATGACCTTAAAAAGATCTGAATTTTTGGTCTCGACTTTGATGGCCTCGACATGGGCTTTTACGAAAGCATCTGCAAGCATAGCAAACGAATCAATGGAATTTGGGGGCAAGTTGTGACACCATATCATTGCTCCCTTGGATAAAGTCTCCCAAAACTACTTCAGTAGCACCGAATCTTTCTCATCGTCTTCCAAGTCATTCCCCTTGCGCGCATATATAAGAGGTCACATGCTCATTTGGATCCGTGGTCCCATTATATTTGGGGATGTCAGGAATATGAAAGTCCGAGAGAAAGAAGCCATTGACTTCATATGGGATCACATAATATGTCGATTTGGGATACCAACCGAGATTGTTTGCGACAACAAAAAATAATTCATTAATCGACCGATATTGTTTGCGACAACGGAAAATAATTTATCGGCGGCAAGGTGAGTAAGTTTTTCGAAGATCAAAAGATCAAGAAGATACTATAAATGCCTTATCACCCGAGTGGGAACGAGCCTGCAGAATCAATAAACAAAACTATACTCCAAAATCCGAAAAAGAGGTTGACCGGTTCGAAAGAAAAATGGAAGGAGATCATGCTCGAAGTCATGTGGGCATACTGTACTAGTTCGAAATGAAGCACCGGGGACACCTTGGTTCCTTTGGTCTAGGAACTGAAGCCTTTAGGATTCTTTGTAAGGGTCAAACGGTCATGCGAATCGTCCCCACATAGTCCACTCTAGCCACGGCACAAGGTTTATATGCTTCTAATCATGTACCTTGCATATTAAGCAATGAAAGAAATTTCTACTTCCATTAAACTTTATTACTGCGCATTTTACTTCTGCGATCCTGGATCTTAAAGCCCACGAGCTACCCCACTCGGGGACTATCAACCAGTAAAAATGCGGACGACCCGAGCTGCCAAATCCCGGAGGCACCAAGCCTATCAGGCAGTGCCTGAACACAAAAGGCTATGACCATCCTAAAACGGCTCGGAGACGTCCGAAGTCCGTACTCAGAAAGTAAGGCCCTTACGAAAAATCAAAACCTATTAAAAGGTTACCCTAAAAAAAACATCCTCTAAGACACTTAAGAATTTTAAAAACCTTTGGTTTTGTCAAAGACTCGAAGCCACAAATAATCCAGATTTGCCATCAAAATCGAGCCCCATTTGGGCCTCCGAAGAATGGATGCTCTAGACTATATTTGATTTTATGCTAAGGCATTAAAAATGATACACAAATAAAAAATTGCAAATAGATGCTGGAAAGTAAAGATACGATATTGTCAAAAGGGGAAATTTTATATATTCCGAAAAATATTTACAAAGGCACGACAAAACGACCTCAAAATAAACAAAAAAGAAAATACACAAGGAAAAACATAAAAAGAACTAAGGCATTTACACCTGGTCCTCATAGGGGCTCGACTCATCACCAGAACCGTCGACACCCTCGAAACCCTCAGAGCCTTTGGGACCCTCCGGCTCATAGAGTTCCTTTGCCTCAGCCTCAATTCTCTTGGCTTCTTCAATATCAGCCGACATGTCAAAACCTCGGGCATGGATCTCTTCGAGGGTGGGTTAGCCGCTTTATATACATCTTTAAGCGGGCCTCGACTACCACCATATTAGCCTTATACTCGGCCAGTGTTTCCTTGACATCAAAAGAGTTTGCATCCAGTTTGGACCTCAGTGCGGCATATTCATGTCCGAGGGCATTCCGTTCCATGACGGTCAAGTCCAGCTGTGCCTGGAGATCATCATATAGCTGGGACCACTTATCGTCCTTGTACTTTGCCACCCGAGTTGGTCCTTGGCCAATGGAAACTCTTCTTTTGCAACCTCTTTCTCCGAAACCAATAGGTCCATCCTGCCCTTCCACGCCTCGGTCGTGGCCTTGACCTCATCCATCTCACCCCGAAGCTGGTTGATCAGGTCTATCTTCTCTTGGACCTACGAAGTTGTGTTGTTAGTCACCACGAGTAACTTCTCGTTTTTAGCCTTAAAGAACTTTAACTTCTCGACCAGGTCAGCGTGCTCCCACTTTAAGGTAGAGGTCTCTTTCATGGCCTTTTCCAGCTCGGCTTGAAGAATCGGGGGTCCTTGTGGGCCCCGTCTTGTTTCTTAGAGCCCTATACATGTCCTTCTTCCGAATTTTCTCTTTGAGCTCGAACTTGAGTTGGCTGATCTCCAAGAGGAACCGAAGAAAACTTTCATGATGAAGCACTGAAGCCTAAAAAACAATGAAGTTATTAGAACACGTCTAAAACTAAGTAAGGTTCACAAAGGGGCACAAAGGGTAGACGCCTTACCCGGTTCATCGCCTGTTGTGCCTCGTTGAAGAGGCTCAATGTGCCCACCTCGTTCATCTTTGCCTGGTCCTCATCGGTCAGTTAGAACCAAAGGTAGCTAGTTACGCTCACCGGGGCAGACAAGGCCCGAGCATCCGTGGGATAGTAAGAATGACCGTTCTTTTATGCTCGGGGTCTACACTCGAGGCAAGGAATTACTTAACTAGTTTTGGGCTCGAGCTCGGCTCACCCACTCCCGATGGCACATCTTTTTTGGGAACCTCCAAGTGACCAAGATCGAAAACATCCTCCAACGGGATCATGTCCATGCCATCGAAGAACGTGTTTAGGGCATCATCTAGGCCCTGTGCCATGTCGTTGGATTTCTCCTTGCCTACTTGGGCCTCTTCGCGCATGGACTCGTTATAAGATGGTGTCTCCATGATGTCAATGACATCGGTTGCATCCTTTGGGACAGGAGCGACTTCTCGGGAGGCTGTAGCTTTCGTCTCTCCCCTAGTTCCTGAGCTAGAGGAGGATCGACATCGTGGTCCTCTTTCCTGATCGTCGCCTGCTCCCCATCAATAAGGGTCGACCCATGAGCAACAAACTCAAGGTCATCATCCTCGGGATAATCTCTGAGCTGATAGAGGGAGTCAGAGTCTGGTACCCTAGACTTGGTAATCTTTTTGCTTTTCCGGACTCTGATGGTCACCTTCTTCTTCTTCACCTCGGCATCCAAGGAACCCGAAGACTTTCTCTTCTTCTTGTTTTTCTCTTTATTTGCGGCAACCCAAGGCTGTCCCGAAGCGGAGGGTTCGGCAAGCGAGGACGGATCCTTGTCCTCATCCAACGACTTGAGTTCGGTGGTTTTAGACAAACCTGTAAGAAAAAAAAGACTTATCAGTATGTAAGCTAAAAGTACGAAGGAAATTATCTGGGAAAGAGCCTCACCATAGGCCCATTTGCCCTTCGAGAGCTTGCGTCATTCGTGCTCGGAGTGTGACATCTATTAGCAGATCCCCTCGATCCATTCCTTGAAGCGGGAAACTGCACTAGGAACTTGGGCGACATCTACACGGTGACAATTATAGGTAATGAGAGAAATAATAAAGGAAAATGACAAATACTAGAGAAAGAAAAAACTTACAGGATATGTTCCACTTCTTGGGGAATGGTAGGAACTCGGAAGGGATAAGGTCTTCGGTTTTCACCCGAACGAACCTCCCTTGCACGTCTCGGTCTCTGTCTTCGTCGATGCTCGAGAACGAAGCCTTAATTGCTCGGCGAACAAGCTTGATCAGTCCCCCTCGAAAGATTCAGGGACTGTATAGGCAAAGAAAATGGTCGAGGGTGAACCGAGGTGCCTGGTTGTTGTTTACAAAGTGTCGTAAAAGGATTACGATCCTCCAAAAAGATGGGTGGATTTTCCCAAGTTACACCTCGTACCTTTTGCACAAGGCAAGGACTATAGGGTCCATCGAGGCGAGCGTGAAGGGTAAGTATAAACACCCAAGTACCCCTCCACGTGAGTAATGATATAATGACCACCTCTTTACCCTCCCAGTTACAGTCCACCCGGACTATAGATAGTGTTTCCTCAGTAACGGAGCATATGTATCTCCAGGCTCCCTCGCCTTGGTCATGTTGACTAGAGGTATTCTCCACGTTAAAATCGTTCCCGATAGAGCAGCCTCCAGGTACGAAGCTCTTCACGGGGGGCTTTTGAGCCACCTCAGGAATGGCCACCTCGATATCTGTGGCCGGGTTGGAAGATGAAGGAGCAATTTGTTGAGGCACTGACTGGGAAGGTTTTTCCATTGTAATCTGGGAAATATGAAGATTTGAAGATAGGATGAAGGTATGAAGACGGGTTGAATATCCATAGGGAATGTATGAGGATTGAAGATGAAGATATGAAGGTTGAAGGAGCAATGTATGAATATTTGGACAATTTGTAGCACGCAAATCAAAGCAATACAAGTTCATTTTCTGCCTTTTAGCTATTGTTAAAGTTTTGCTCATTTGTTTTGTTCTTCATTCACGACTGGGCTTGAATCGAGGATCCAACCAAGGACGAGGTCGTTAGTTAGTCTAGGTTCAGGCTTTGCCATAATATTGCAACTGATTTGAACGTTTATTTTACTTCTAACTCATTTATTTAATAATCTTAATTGTTCGTGTTGGATTAAACCACATATCCTTAAAACAAGTACAAATTTAATTGTTACCCAATTTTTGGGTAAACAATGGCGTTAAAATGGATGACCCAAATCACACAGTCAATTATTGGGTCAAAGGGACCCAACAGTTGCTTGTATCAGATTCACTCCGTTGGGGATAGCCGAGCCGAGACCTCATTGCTCAGTCCGACCCAGCCATATGGCCATACCCATCCCTATAGGCAACAGCCGCCCGTCTAGCACTTATACTATTCCCATGCCCTTCTCTTTTCTCCCTTATCTGAATTTTGATGGATCTCTCCGCTTTACATCTACTTCCTGACATACCAATAGAGAATATAGGACAAAAAGGAACACACACACTCCCTCTGTGTGGGCAAGACCGACTTTAAAACAAGTGGTAAGTGGACGTGGTGGTCGTGTCAGAAAATAGATAAAAAGGCTCAAAACTTGTGGTTAGTTTTAGCCATGGCGTGGATTGCAATATATGCCAGCAGTTACGCCTCGTAAATACCCAAAATTATACTTCTTTTACTAGTAATTTCTTCAAGATCTCATGGCAGCGAAGAAACTATATGAGTCCTTTTCAAAGGGACTGTTTGAGGAGGTGCAGCGATGGGGTTCCATGAAGCAGACTGGTGTGAGTCTCAAGTACATGTTGGAGTTTGGCTCCACACCAACTGCCCGCAATTTGTTGATTTCTTCTCAATTCCTTCACAAGGAACTGCCTATAAGGATTGCTCGCAGGGCTATTGACCTCCAAAACCTTCCCTATGGCTTATCTCTTAAGCCTGCTGTTCTAAAGGTAGCTTCTTTTCTCTTTCCTCTTTTGCTTGGAAATCTTTGATTATTCTATTAAGAAATTGTTGCTAGGTTTTTAATTTTAAGATGGTTAAACTAATGCGTTCGCTGTCTTAACCTTGTGATTAACTGACGATTTATAGTTAATTACTTAAGATGGTTTACCCTTTTATTTCTTTTTTTTCCCTTCTACCTCAACAATGTTTCATTCTTTACAATGTGTCTGCTGTTTTCTTCTTAGAGTTCTTATAGCAATATATAACTATTTCCCGTGGCATAAAGCAAAAACCTTGCGAGCTAATTTGTCTTCAATGGTCTTTCTAAATTAGTAAATATATAGTTAAGAGCTGCTGATTACTCCGTTTTCTAAATCTTTGTGCTTGTTTTCTCTATTAGGTCCGTGATTGGTATTTGGATTCTTTCCGGGACCTTAGATCCTTTCCGGATATAAAGGATCAAAATGATGAGTTGGAATTCACACGAATGATTAAAATGATTAAGGTCCGGCACAACAATGTTGTTCCTATGATGGCTTTGGGAGTTCAACAACTAAAGAAAGATCTGGACCTTAAGGTTGATTATAAGGATTTGGATGAAATACACCAATTTCTTGATCGCTTTTACATGTCTAGAATTGGGATACGGATGCTTATTGGTTAGCCTCATCTCTTTCCCGCCTTATATCTACTTGAGTAATACTATTTATACAATGGCTAGATATTTTTAGTAAATTGTGGCAAATATATATGTTTTTTAAAATTCTGAATTCCTGTCAAACTCAGGGCAGCATGTAGCACTACACGATCCTAATCCGCCTCCTGATTGTGTGGGCTATATACATACAAAAATGTCCCCGTTGGAGGTTGCACGGAGTGCTAGCGAGGATGCCCGTTGTATTTGCTCGCGTGAATATGGCAGTGCACCTGATGTCCACATTTATGGGGATCCAGACTTTACATTCCCGTACGTCATTTGCTCCTAATTCATTCCCATTATCCAATATGCTAGACATCTCTCATCAAGCTGTCCATCATTTTTGTTCCATGGGATTCTGTTTGACCTATGTGTTTCCCTTGTGTTATTGGGGTAGCAAAATGTAAATGAATTTGACTCTTGTAGTTGTGGCAAGTTTTGTTTACTTTGCTTTATGCCATATATTTTATTCTTTCTTTTCGGGGATCCATGACAGTTATGTGCCAACACATCTGCAATTGATGGTTTTTGAGTTGGTTAAGAACTCCTTGCGTGCTGTGGAAGAGCGATTTATGGACTCAGACAAAGTTGCCCCTCCTATTCGAATAATAGTTGCTGATGGTCTAGAGGATGTTACCATCAAGGCATGGTCTCTTCTCAAGTGCTTTATTTAAGAACTTCTTCTGACGGGACCTTTTTGCTTCTTTGTTCTGGACTTAGTTGTTGCTGGAAGGAGGTCTATCTCACTATTTTCCTTCCCGTTCTTATCAAATCTGGTTCATGTGCTGTGTAGGTTTCAGATGAAGGTGGTGGAATACCAAGAAGCGGCCTTCCCAAAATTTTTACTTATCTCTACAGTACTGCCAGGAATCCCTTGGATGAGCACTCAGACCTTGAAACAACTGATGTAGCTACTCTGTCCACATTGGCTGGTTATGGATATGGACTTCCAATAAGTCGTTTATATGCTCGCTACTTTGGAGGGGATTTACAAATTATCTCCATGGAAGGCTATGGTATGTTACACTACCTCTCGCCCTTTTATGCATGAATTTCAATCTCTAGATTGGTAGACTGGAATAAAGGTTGTTATGGTGTTTTTGTGGCTAATTGTGTAATCGTATTTGCTGATCTATGCCATACAAATAAATGTTTTTACTAAGAGAATAAGTGGCCTTTTTTAGTGGGGCACGCCTATACAAGTTTCAGATTTTGATTACCTCAGAAGAATATAAGTAATCTGGTAATATCTAAAATCCTGTGTGCATGAGGAACACATTCTTTCCCCTGACACCCCACTTGTGGGAATACACTAGGTCGTTGTTGTTGTATATGAGCAGCACATTCTTTAATGCCTTCCACTAGTGTTGTTAAATTTGGATTAAAGATTTAGGACAAGTGTTGAACCTATTATGGGTGCATCTCACGAGGCATAATATTGTGCATACGCAGCTATTAACCCTGAAATTTGTTTAACTAACGAAGAGGAATGCTTGATAATCTTCTGTTATTGATAAATAAACTTGTAGCATTTTCATCATGCGAAAAGATTTATCTGTGGTGCCCTAAATTCCAGTAACATGACTTATGTGACTTGATCACAAGATTATGGCGAGTCTGTCCGTTTTGAATGGGATTTAATTTAATGTTAATAAAGTGCTTAAGTACTACGAAATAACATTAAATTTAGTTTTGTACAGTAGGGAGTAGTAGTAGTACCTGATGTGCACTTTCTCTTTTTACTGCTTTACAGGTACTGATGCTTATCTCCATTTATCGCGTTTAGGAGATTCGCAAGAACCCTTACCTTGATGTTTGATGTTGGGAGGTTATGTTTGTTGTGAAGACTCTGTAAATATTTCAATTTAAGAACATTAATCCTCGTACCCGGGGATCTATTTATTGATAATACTAATATTAGTACCTGCCTGATGCGCGGAAAAATATTAAAGAATATTAATCAAATTATGTGATTTAATTTGTTTGAGCATGTTATATCATATTGCTTGAATTAAATTTCAGCTCCCTTGTTATCCAGTAAAACATGCTAATAAAAAAACTTATGAAATTAAAAAATATTCTTAGTCTTCGAATAATTTTTCAGTTCTTCATTTTTTTATTACATAATCTATTATATTTAGTATTAGTTTATTTGTTATTATGTCGTTTATTAGCTTGTCACTTCATTTAATATTTTTGTTAAGTAATCTCTTTTTAATATAACATAGATATATGTTTTTCTTACTCCTAAACTTTTTCATTTACTTTTATTCTATTTTCCCTCTTCATTTGTCTAAATTTATTAATATTATTTTGAGTACTTATTTATTATTTTAACTAATTCAAACTATAGATATCTAAACATTATTTCTATTCCCACACTTTGTATAATTTTTTATATCATATTTTAATTGATTATCCTAATTAATAAATTTACCTATAATTATAGTAATATTAATTTTTAAAACCAAAATTGTGAAGTCAAGTTAAAAAATCTATTGAAATTTTAAATAATTATATTTTTGGTGGAAGGGAAGCCTTGGCGGAAGAGGAGCCTTGGCGTAATTGATAAAGTTGCTATCATGTGATCAGGAGGTCACGAGTTCGCGGTGGAAATAACCTCTTGCAGAAATGCAGGGTAAGACTGCATACAATAAACTGTTATGATCCGCCCTTCCCTGGACCCCGCGCATAGCGGAAGCTTAGTGCATCAGACTGCCCCTTTTTATTTTTGTATTTTACGCAATAAACATCTAAATTTTTCTTCTCTTTTTTTCCAATATAAAATTTAAGTTTTTTAGTTTCTTAATTTTATTTAATATTTACTTTTTACTTGCAAATTTTTATTATTTGATACTTTTTATTTTTGACTTCATCTGTTAAGATATCAAATATGTGGTATTGTCCATTTTACACATGACTTTTCTCATAATAATTTCAAAAATAATTTCTCATCTAAATTTAATAAGTATTATCTTCTATATTTCTATACCTAATTGTTTTCTCTTTTTTGTTCATTGTCTATCGTTATTACATCATTTGTACTTAGAATTGTTATATCTTATGATATAACTTTTTTATTAGCTTGTCACTTGGCTTCCTTAATATTTTTGTTTTGTATAATATAGATAAAAAAAATTACTTTTGAAATTTAATTGGTCAGAATTATTAAATAGTCTAAATATATCAATAATATTTTTCTAATTGTAATATCCGCCACGTTAGTGTTCAGTTTAATAACATCCCTATGGCCACAAAAGATCAGCTTGCCTAAACTTAGCCACCCAACATTCCCTGTTTGGCTTTCCTATTTCAGAGGAAATCCATGCATTTTCTATGATAAAAGTGGATGAGACAAAGTGACTAATCAACCTCATTCCCCATGCTTCTTTCCCTTTTCATCGTTCCAACATCACCATTTTATATCCTATTTGCAATTTATTGTTTTGTTTCTTGAGAATAAACCACCAATAAGTAATATACATATTTTCTAATTTGCTTTTCTTTAACTTCAACAAACAAATACATGCACAAAAAAGAATAAATAATGAAAGGGGGAAAGCTTGTTGCATTTGGATTATCGCTTATCGTTGTTGTTGGGGTAGTCATTGCTGTTATCGTTGGCACTAATCGTGCCAACAACGACTCTTCATCCCATGATGACAAGGACGATAAGGTGCTCGCTACCACTTCCAAATCCATTGCTTCCGTTTGTTCCCAAACGGACTATAAGAAAGCCTGTGTGAATAGCCTTAGCTCCATGGCCAACAACCAAAGTGCCACCCCAAAGGACTTTATCGAGAAAGCCATTGAAGTGGCCATTCAGGAAGTTAGAGCTGGAATGGAGAGGTCTGCTTCCATTGGCAAAGCAGAGGCACATGATTCCTTGCAAAAGATGGCCACTGAAGATTGCAAGGACCTATTGCATTTTGCCATCGATGAGCTTCAAGCATCCTTCTCCTCAGTAGGCGACAACGAACTCCATAATATTGCTGACAGGGAAATAGAGCTCAAAAACTGGCTCAGTGCTGTCATCTCTTATCAACAAACCTGCATGGATGGTTTCACTCAGCCAGAACTTAAAAATGCCATTTCTACCTCCCTCTTAAATGCTACACAGCTCACCGATAATGTTCTTGCCATTGTCGCTACAATCAGTGAAATCCTTTCCGCATTTAATATCCCCATTGGGAACTCGTCTAATACATCATCAGCAACAACAGCAACATCCCGACGATTGCTTGAAGCTAATAACGATGATGAGGAGGCGGTCCACAATACAGAGAATGGATTTCCTGCATGGCTTCCGAGTGGTGATCGGAAACTATTGGCTGCAAGAAACAACAACCCTCAATCACCACCAAACGCTGTAGTAGCTAAGGATGGCTCTGGACAATACAACACCATTGCAGCTGCTCTTGCTGCGTATCCTAAGAACCTTAAAGGCAGATACGTCATATATGTAAAGGCCGGAATTTATGATGAATACATAACCATTACAAAAGATCAAGTCAACATATTCATGTACGGAGATGGACCTCGAAAGACAATAGTCACAGGAAAAAAATGCAACCGTGATGGCGTCACTACTTACCAGAGTGCTTCCTTCAGTGAGTTTTTTAATTTAATTTTTCTCATCCCCTCTGTCTCTTTTCCCATAAAACATGAAAATGAATAAACATTTAAAGATTGCAAAAGAAGAAACAAAAAACATTCAGATAGAATCCAGCTATGTTGATTTCTCGCAGGGACAATAATTTTTTTCCCCTTTGAAACTGACTCGAATTTAATAACATTCAGGTGCCGTTGGAAATGGATTTATAGCCAAGTCCATGGGATTTCAAAACATAGCAGGACCTGAGGGGCACCAGGCGGTAGCCCTTCGTGTCCAATCAGATATGTCTGCCTTCTACAACTGCAGAATGGATGGATATCAAGACACTTTGTATGCTCAAACACATAGACAATTTTATCGCAATTGTGTGGTGTCAGGCACAGTTGATTTCATCTTTGGTGACGCAGCAGCTATCCTCCAGAACTGCTTAATTATTGCAAGGAAGCCAATGGACAATCAACAAAATACAGTGACAGCTCAAGGAAGAACTAATATTCGGGAGACCACAGGTTTAATAATCCAGAACTGCCGCATTGTTCCTGAGCAATTACTGGAACCTGTGCGTTTCAAGATTCCTAGCTACTTGGGACGGCCATGGAAGATGTACTCAAGAACTGTGATCATGGAATCAACTTTGGCAGATTTCATCCAACCTGCAGGTTGGATGCCCTGGTCCGGAAACTTTGCCCTTGACACATGTTACTATGCTGAGTATGGAAACCGCGGTCCAGGAGCCAATACCAACAATAGGATCAAATGGAAGGGATTCAAAGTCATCACAGACAGAAACGAAGCCCTTCAGTTTACAACTGCTCCATTTATTCAAGGAAACCAGTGGTTGGGATCCACCGGTTCCCCATACTACCTTGGGCTGAAAAACTAGGTGACAATGACATGGAGTAGAGCAGTAGAGAGAAGGAACCACATCACCAATAAAATCGTAGAGAGCCAGCCAGCAAGGTTCTAAATTTGTAGTAGTATGTAAGTTTTCCTGCTTTTTGAAGTTAAGGCAGCTAAGAGGGTGAGAGGATGGACCTAAACTGCCATCCCAACCTTTACCTGAACTTGATTAGTTCAAGAATCAACCTACTATACCTATTGAAAAAAAAAAAAGCCTACTGTTTCGAAGGCTGTCACAGTATCCATACTCGTTAAACATTGTCCTTTTTTTTGGTTTTCTTTGAATATAACCAGGCATGATATTAGTGTAGCAAAATGCGGTCACTTTTGTTGCGATACAACTCGTCACTCCTAAGAGGCCATCCATGGCCATGGCCAGGAAATGTTCCATCTCAAAACAGTAGCCCAAAGATAATAATTGATTTCAATACCATTTTCATAACCAAGGTCACAGGTTTGAGCCGTGGAAAAAGCCTCTTGTAGAAATGCAGGGTAAGGCTGCGTACAATAGACCCTTGTGGTCCGGCCAGGCTACGTACAATAGACCCTTGTGGTCCGGCCCTTCCCCGGACCCGGCGCATAGCGGAAGCTTAGTGCACCTGGCTGCCCCTTTTTCATAACCAAGGAGCTTTTCTCCTAAAGGTGTCATACCAAACAAGGTACGATTTCTGGCCATTTATGCAACAACATAGAACTGATTGTTATTCCAATAATTTGGGATGTTGCAGAAAGACCTAAATTCTTACAGTTTCACATCATAGTAATCAACAATCAACATATGTTGAGAATCTTTTGAGAGACGATAAAATACAAAGCGGGAGACATGATATAGTCTGACCAATGAGAGCACAGAGACAATTTCCACATGATGGAACAATTTGAGTATCTGTATTGGAAGATTGTTAGGCAATGCACTAGCGTAAACTCGGAAAAGGATTAAGACGCAAAGTGGTGGACCAAAATGCCAAGAAAAACTCAAACAACAAAAAAGAGATACATAGATCATAGCCTATCAAGTCAAAATTCGATAGCAAAATGCATTAAGCTTTATATACAGTTAGTTGATTGTATAATTTGAATTCCTTCATTCCCCAAAAAATAACTCCCAAATAACCCAAGCGCTCAATAAAGAGTGAAGTTGCAAGAGGTCAGCAGCCACGCGAAAAAAAAAAAGGAATAAAGAAAAACCTGGTACACCATGTTGCTATAGTGCCAGCTAGCCATATAGTGCAACTCCCTAGGCTAATCATTTAGGAACACCACAGGTACCAATCATCAGCATCTGAAGATTGAGACGAGCATCCCGTTGCCCCATCATGTACCCTATTTTCCCCTGTAACATTACCTCAAGTATCAGAAACAAGTTTGGGCAAGAACTTGGAACCAAACTGATGTTGGGTATCGATCAGATTCATTAGCCTATCCAAACAATGAGCAATACCGGCCTTAGCCATGAGAGCTTCCTTGACCCTAATCTCAGCG